ATAATACATATGAATTAGTATAAGTGTTTATAATACATATGAATTAGTACAAGTGTTTATAATACATATGAATTAGTACAAGTGTTTATAATACATATGAATTAGTACAAGTGTTTATAATACATGTGAATTAGTACAAGTGTTTATAATACATGTGAATTAGTACAAGTGTTTATAATACATGTGAATTAGTGCAAGTGTTTATAATACATATGAATTAGTGCAAGTGTTTATAATACATGTAAATTAATACAAGTGTTTATAATACATGTGAATTAGTACAAGTGTTTATAATACATGTGAATTAGTACAAGTGTTTATAATACATGTGAATTAGTGCAAGTGTTTATAATACATATGAATTAGTGCAAGTGTTTATAATACATGTGATATAGTACAAGTGTTTATAATATTTTTTCTTGATGTTTATGTTCCTTCCAACCTTTTTTTACTATCATTACTCACAAAATCTTTTAAACGTCAGATCCTTGTATTTGTTTTATTAGTTATAAAGTCAATGAATGCAAGGTAATAATAATAATAATAAGTATGCCTGCCATAAAATCAAGGACTGTGGTTAGTTAATGTGTAACATTTCTTTCACTAAAACTTAACAATCCTGTCACTAACTAGATGCCACTACATCTGAAATAATTCACCAAGTAGATTAGAGAAATAGGAAGTCTAGATTTTATATTGATTATTAACTTTACTCCTCACTTCAGTATAGTGAAACTGCTGAAACTTTCTCTTGTCTTTTTGTGGAAAATCCAAAAAATTACTGTGTAGTTTATCTGTTTCTTTGTCTTAAAGTGTGAAACAGTATCTGATAGTGATTTTATTTACCGTAATATTCTTTAGGAGAATGAACTTTGTATGTAATTGTTTAAATGGTTACAACTTTGAATGTTAATCCAGAATAACAGAAAGACTTTATGTATCTTAATATGTGCCCTTTTAAAACTAATCTTGTAATATTTAACTGTCTTGCTTATTCAAATTTTGTCTTTGATTTTTTTGCATTTCCACTATACAAAGCAGACATAAAGATAATTTTTATTGTAGTATTATAAAGTCATTTATGAACAATGTTTTGCCTAAGTTTATACAACTTTTCCAAATGTATCATTGGCCTCGTTCCAGTTTATTAAATGTTGATATTTAACTTATATAATGCAAACATCTTCCTGTTTTTCTCAGGATGTGACTTTGTTGGTGAAAAACTTGCACATTTTTTTGGGATCACTACACCGAAGTACCAATATGAACTAGAAGAGTATCAGAGGATGTTGAAAGAGGCAAGTTTAACATTTAATAAATATGAGAGGATGTTGAAAGAGGCAAGTTTAACATTTAATAAGTATGAGAGGATGTTGAAAGAGGCAAGTTTAACATTTAATAAGTATGAGAGGATGTTGAAAGAGGCAAGTTTAACATTTAATGAATATGAGAGGATGTTGAAAGAGGCAAGTTTAACATTTAATAAGTATGAGAGGATGTTGAAAGAGGCAAGTTTAACATTTGATAAATATGAGAGGATGTTGAAAGAGGCAAGTTTAACATTTAATAAATATGAGAGGATGTTGAAAGAGGCAAGTTTAACATTTAATAAGTATGAGAGGATGTTGAAAGAGGCAAGTTTAACATTTAATAAACATGAAAGGATGTTGAAAGAGGCAAGTTTAACATCTAATAACTGGTTTTTAATTTTGGTACCATTTTACTTCATTTAGAAACTAATACCAGCCAAACTTTACAAGAACTACAGAAAATGTTTAGTAAATTTAGATGATGAGAACATAAGTAAACCCATTAGTTTACTCCAACTTTTAAATACCAAATTAAAAACTTTTATTATATACAAAGTAGTAAGTTTCAGTAGTTTTTACTTTGATCATCCTAAATATATAAAAAAAGGGGAGGGTTATATAAATATTTGATCTGACATCATTCAAGAAGTTGGTCACTTTTTTTGTGTGTGTGGAAAATTCTGATGTTAGCTACTAGTTGTTATATAACAGGAAGAAGAGGAGAAGGAGAAAACAGCCGAAGAAAATGTGGGGTGGAAGCAGGAAACGGATCAACTAAGGAGTGTTGAAGTTGAACCTTCTGTAAAAACTTCTCTGGAGAGTATACAATCTCCATCAGGTTCAGTTGGTGACAGTGAAGTTGTTACACCAGACGTTTTATCACTGTCAGATGAGAAAATCCAAATGGCCACCTCGGATACTGTACTCCAGCAACATGTGAACGTCCCGGATGTCGCCGCATCACAACTACGTGATGATACTTCCACAATAACACTTGAAACAGAATCAGACCTAACCATGATAGGGAATATAACCAAGTCATCTGCACCAAGTTTGGAGCCTCACTAATATACAGATGTTCAAATGACATCTACTGGTGATATGCAATCTCAGCCACAGGGGAAGATAAAATGTTATGAAACCTGGACTGGGTTTACTAAAACTTCAGGTTTTCAAACCTAGTTTTTTGTTGCAATAAAAATTTAGTATTTAAGTAGTTGAGGAACAATTTTGATTCTAATCAAACAAGTACTTAGTTTATGTAAAATTGTCTGTGTATGTTTTTTCTTTCTTTTTTTATGTAGATTCACATTAATCATAAACTCAAAAGCTTTGAAATTCTAACAGCTTAGTGTACCTTTGTGAAGTATATTCTAGATCGTAAAACAACCATTAAAACTTTTTAAAAATAGTTTTATCATTAAATATCTAAAAGTACTCAGTTCTTTGTGATGAAGTTTTCAAATTACTAGGAATCCCTTTCTGAAGTAGGCTAAGATAACTTTTTAACCTTTTTTTCTGAACTAGATTCAAAAAGCCAATAAACATTTTTGAGTTAGGTTTTAACTGTACCCCAGTTTTATTCAAGCTTTGCTAACTTATGCTCATGTGATATTTCTTGAAAGTTTAAATTGTTATTCAGATTTCTTCCCAAGTGGAATGAACGGTAAGAATAATTTTTATAAAAGTAACAGGTATTTTCAATACTTCTATTTGAAATTGGATTTGGAAATGTTACATATTTTCATCAAAAAATTGTTCCTTGCTGTATAAATACTATTAGTGATATTAAGATTTATAATATATATATATAACATTATTAATTGTTTTTTGGAATTGATACATGATTATTGAAAAATCTTACACTATACTTTTTATAAAGTGACCTTATTTTAAGCTCGATGTGACCTTGATGGGATTGTAACATTACAGGTGACAAGTTTAGAATTTAAAATAAAGTAGCTGACAAGAAAGATGACACAGTCTTAAAATATAATAACTTAAAACTAAATGCTTTTTTTTTCAATAAATCAACAAACCCAAACTAGAATACGTGTCAAAAGTGTAAAACCTTTTCAAACTTCACTGAGCAGTTTGATATCAATTTCAAGATTTATTATGATACTTTCTCTCATTTTTTTTAACTTCACAAGACTGAATATATTTTTAATAAAAAGCTCAGTTGTTTTGAAATTTGGTGGAAAAAAAACTTCATTATAAAATCTGAATTGATCATACTTCTGCTGCTTGGAAACATGAAAGTTAGTGTGTTTATATACATATTTTAACTTATTTGTTTAGCTAAATGGAAATTTAGTTGCATGGTGTACTGAAGAAGTCAAATTACAAAAATGATTATATTTCCTTTAATTAACATCCTGAAAAAGGTAGGATAAAAAAACTTTAAACATTTTGTCAGAAAACACCTAAAGTAAGTAGTTTCTCGTTCAGCCACATTGTGCTTTACCTTTTGTGTGTGTGTTTATCTCAAGATAGAAAATAATTCGTTTTTGTTTAAAGGTCAGTGTGACAGGTCATATTTAAAACTGTAAGACTATACATGGGAGTCAAATAATTAATGGTATTGTACAATAATGGGGCTGGCTTGGCTTAGTGCTGTTGAAATGTAACTAACTAAATCGTTGTGGGTTTGAGGCTTTCTCATCCCCAGTCTAAACAGCTGTAAAATGGGCACAAGCTAATAACTAGGGATGAACCTGGCATCCTATCCAGGGAGAATGTATCACCATTCTTATCTCCTAGTGTCACTGGAACCACAATAAAGCTACTCCTGTGTGTCTTTGTTCATAGACACATTAACTTATATTCTCGTTATCATATATACTCCATTCATACTGTTTTTGTAGTTAATAGAGATTCAGTTTAAAGTGTTAACAGCAGTAATATCGTGTAAACTTCGCATCTTGCTTCACGTCTTGGTGCTAATACGTTTGTATCATACCCATGTGGTCATAATTCATTGTTGATAAGCTTCGACAATTCAACAAGAATTATACACTGGTGCCTGGGAGTATCGAGAGACTATAAGAAAAATATTACATTAGGATTTCAGTTTGTTTTCTAAACTTGCATGAAAGTTAAATTGATCAGCTGCTCTGGTAACATTTGTTCTGTTCTATATCTACTAAATGACTCAAAAATAAGTGAAAAAAAACAATCTTCTTTTATAAAATGAAAAATAGCAATTCTTCTATGGCAAGAATTATGATAAGTAAAATAAACTCCCTCTGTTAACTTCAGCTGGTTCAACACACCATTCAGTGACCACAACTTTCAGGCTAGTGATATTCAGTGTAACGTTCGTACTGATAGGAACATTGTTATATTTTTGTATTATTATCTTCATTCACTGAAACAAGGTGATTATAGTCGGCTACCTTTGATGCTAGTCAGTAACATAAAACCTATGATTCATTGTTTAATGTTCACAAAATTAATGCAGAATGTACTTAAAAGGTTTCATTGGCAACATATAGCAGGGTTATAGGCAGAAATCTGTAAAGGGTGGTGCAGTCAGTAGTAGTGTAACATATAAAGAGGGTGGTGCAGTCAGTAGTGGTGTAATATATCAAGGGGTGGTGCAGTCAGTAGTAGTGTAACCCATAAAGGGGTGGTACAGTCAGTAGTAGTGTAACGTATAAAGAGGGTGGTGCAGTCAGTAGTGGTGTAATATCTATAAAGGGGTGGTACAGTCAGTAGTGGTGTAATATATAAAGAGGTGGTGCAATCAATAAATGGGGTGGTGCAGTCAGTAGTAGTGTAATCTATAAAGGGGGTGGTACAGACAGTTGTAGTGTAATATATAAAGGGGTGGTGCAGTCAGTAGTAGTGTAATCTCTAAAGGGGTGGTGCAGTCAGTAGTGGTGTAATCTATAAAGGGGTGGTGTAATCAATAAAGGGAGTGGTGCAGTCAGTAGTAGTGTAATCTATAAAGGGTGGTGATACACTTGGAGGAAAAAGGAAATGAGTGGTGAAGCCATAGTGGGGGAATCTGGGGCCATGCCTGTATAAAATATTTTGTGTTTCTGACCAAAAATTGTGTATTTTTATGGTAACTGAAGCTGTTTTTACACCTTTTAAATATGTTTAATACATATATGGGTGCAAATTTGTTAAGAAGACTTAATTCACTACAAAATGTCATTTAACCATTCAGTTTTTAGTTGATTTTATAATTAGTAGGGTTGGTATTGGTTATTATTTCAGCCGACATTAAGACAATGTAAATAAAAACAGAATTCTTCAAGAATATCTAACAATTATGAAAAATACATTTTTAAAAACATAGTGTATTTGTAAAGTTATAATTACATTATAACCAGTACCAATAATTTAGTATGTTGTGTTACTGTAAGTAAGTAGGGAAGTGACAAGTTCAGGAATTGGTTCTTATAGGTATAAACATGTATGCATGAAATATTAAGTAAATTGAGAATATTAAAAGTTCAGCTGCTTCTTGACAAAAACTGCTTTTTAAGTTAGCAGTTTGAATTGTTTAAATAAATCTTTTAATCATACAATTTGTGAAAAGATGGAATTGAAAATTAAGGTTATGATCATCCATATTATTCTGCAGTTCAATATTTCATAGAGTTTGTTGTTGTAATGATAAAGTATGTTGAACTCAAGCCACATAGGCCAGTATGCAACATGATGAAACTATTTTCTTACTCTCCAAATAATGAGTTATGAATATATATAAAACAAAATGTTGGCAAAGTTTTATGTTTTTACATTTGGTTCCTACCAGGTGTGCCTTACTTTTTCAGCTCTGGGTAAAGGAAAAATAAATCAACCAGTGTATAAATTTTCTATTGAGGAACAATTTTTTTCTAGTCATTTTGGTGCTTCTAAAAAATATTTTATTAGTATTGGCTTTTTGTTTATTATTACTTGTGTGTATAAAGCATTAATTATTTCTAGAAAATATTTGTGCATATTTAAGGTATAAACTTGTGTGTGTTACATTTTTATAATTCAATGCTGTACTGATAGTTTATAAAGTGTTATTTCATATAATGTCAGATGCCTAACAACTATAGTCAATCACACGTTCCACACATTTAGTGGCATGCCTCAACATTCTTGCTAAGCTGGACCCTAATACTGTGACGTTTTGGATGAGACATTGGATCTTACTCATGTACAGATGTAGAGGGCTTATTACCTTCTACTCCACACCACTTTACCCCATAAAACCTTCTTCACTAAACAATCAGTAGACTACAATAATGCAAAACCTTGCTATACCATAAGGGATTCCTAATCTTATATGTTTCACTTTTATGTACCTTGGAGGAACTGTGAAGGTGCAGAAGGCAGGATGTGAGCCAACTAACTAGTTATAGTTAAGTCTTGTGTTGTTTCAGATCTAAAACAAAATTTTATGAACAATTTGTATTGAGGAAGGTGTTTAAAAATGTATTGTTTGGTGTATGGCCAGCATTCATTATAAACTTAGTTAATGCTCAGATACTTTGTTTTATATTAAAGCTTTATCTTACACTGTTGTCACTGGTCGTCCTTATTTATAGAAATGAGGGTATCAGCTTAAACAGTATTGATGTGCAAAAAGGGTGGTGTGGGCACAGGTAGTTTAACTTATAAAGGGTGGTGCAATCATAAGCAGTGTAATCTAAAAAGGGTGGTGTGGGCATAGACAGTGTAACCTAAAAAGGGTGGTGCAATCATGAGTAGTGTAATCTATAAAAGGTGGTGTAGTCATAGGTGGTATAATCTATAAAGGGTGGTGTAGTCATAGGCAGTGTATTCTATAAAAGGTGGTGAAGTCACAGGCAGTGTAATCTATAAAAGGTGGTGTAATCATAGGCAGTGTATTCTATAAAAGGTGGTGTAGTCACAGGCAGTGTAATCTATAAAAGGTGGTGTAGTCATAGGCAGTGTATTCTATAAAAGGTGGTGTAGTCACAGGCAGTGTAATCTATAAAAGGTGGTGTAATCATAGGCAGTGTAATCTATAAAAGGTGGCAAAAACTTTGGCATGCTCCACCTTTGGCTTTATTCGGAAAATCACGTCTGAGAGATGATCCACTATGTCATATGGGCCTTCCCATGGAGAAGACAACTTAGGAGACTTCCCTTTGGTCTTCCTGGGATTATACAACCACATCTTGTCACCTGGTACAAAGCTGACTTCAGTAGATCTCTTACCATAAGATAACTTCATCGAATCAGCAGACCTTTTCAAGTTTGAATGCACTTGATGATGAATATCATCCATCCTTTCTGATAACACTTTCACAAACTGACACATTTTCAGGCAACTCTTCATAAGGTGGGCATCCCTCATGCTTGGGTCCCCTTTTAGCACAACATGTGCTGCATGTTCTGCAACATTTTTCCACATCTTGCCTCATACCTATCCAATAAAATTTCTGTCGTAGGTGACTCAATGTCTTCTTAACTCCGAGATGTCCTCCTGTTAAAGTATCATGGGATTGACGCAGCACAACTTCCCGTAACTTTCTCAGTATAACCATTTGCCAGGTCGTCACTGTCCCATCTCTGGAGAAGAATACCATCATCAAGCTTTAACTGGTCCCATTGTGCCTAATAGTTCTTTGTCACAGGGCTTAGAGTAGACACCTTCTCCCAAGCAGGGTGCAAAAAACTTGCTTTTAGAAAATCA